TGATGTATACCACTTCCAGTTTCAAAACTTTGAGAAATAAAATCATATTACAGTACAACCTTGGGGGATATGAAACTATATTACCACACAAGGGACATAAGATTCACTGGGATACTTGAAATAAATGGGAAGCAAGAGGTGAGGTCAGTGGGGCTAGGAGCCTCCAGAATTTATAAGATGCACTAGGGTGAATGGGGAGAGTCCTTCCCCCATATGGCCTACAAATTCTGCAGCCTAAAGAAATTCAAGCCACAGCAATTTCTACATAGAAAAGGATACAAAATGAAGGACAGAAGAAGAGGGAAAAGGTAGCAAATGCAAACGTGGAAGGATGGTCTATGATTGAGGTGCTAGCCTGAGACTCGGGAAACCTGGGTTCAGTTTTCCTGCTATAGCCTTCCTGTATGACCTTGGGCAAGGCACATAGTGCCTCTGTGTCTCAGTTTCCCATCTGTAAAATAGGCGTACTAATCACTACCTCAGATGGGTGTTGGGAGGATCAATACATTAAAGACTGCAAGGTGATAGGGGCCTTTGTGTGAATCCTTCATCCAGTTTGCTGACTTTCGTATTAGAAACCAGGAAGAGAAAAGAAAAAAAAATAGCAAAAGCTTTAATTTCTTTTACTTATTTGGGACATAGCAATTCAGGCCTGTCAGCCAGTGTAGTACCCACTCACCAGGCTGTGGACAATGCACAAACTATAGTAATACAATCCCTGAGAAATTAATTGGATTGAGAATTACATATGTACCTACAAGTGTAGCATACGCATACACACTCCATGAAAAAATTACTTTGCCATTTTTAGAGTACAAGAAAATGACTGAAAAAAGTCTTAATACAAATAAAAGTCTGAACAGTTGGCCAAAAAAGAAACAAAATTAGACTTTACAATGTTAGCAACCATCTAAAGATTTGCAGACACATCCGTTTCATATGAGCTCTGTTTATCTAGCACTTCTTTCTCTCTCTGGTGACTGTCTACTCAAGAAAGTTCCTTTCCAAACACAATGCAGCTTTCTGTAGACAGGTGCTATGACATACACAGACACTGTTCAAGAACAATAAAGGGACTATGCACTTTACGAAAAAGATAAAATGGAATGCTGCACAATGACATTCAACAGAAGGTAAACAGTTACTCACTGATTAAAGAATGCATTTGCAAGAGCCAGTACTTGAGGACAAATATTAAACTGTTGCTGAATTTAGGACAGTTCAATAGACTCATATTAAGATTAGTTTAAAAATCCTGAAAGACTAGATATGGCTGTTTTATTTTCCAATTTTTGGTTATTAACGGTTTAATGATAAAACCAAATGTGTTTTAAATCCAAAAAGTAATTTTAAGAGTACATTAACTTATATTTTCAATTTTCCCCCTCTTTATGTGCATCTATCCCTACCTGCCTAATTAGAGTGTGTTAAAACAGTGTTTCATGTTCTCCTGAATTTAAAGTGAACTGCTAAGCAATATATTTTTGCATACTTCCTTGGAAATAGTAGACAATTCTTCAACTATCCAGGACTGGAAGTTGTAATGGATATAGACAAGGCACCTGTAGTTGTACTGGATAGTGCAGACCACTGTACTCTAGAGATGCAGTGTTCTAACATATTTAGATGTATTTATATGCTCCTCCCCTCCAGCTACTGTAGGTCAGTTTCCCAAATTGATTAACAACAACTGGCATTTAATTAATACTTTCTATTAAATCTAAATAATTTTCAATAATAAACAAACAATAATTTTCAACACTTCTGACCAGCTCCATTCAAGCATTTTCTCATCTAGTCACTACAGTCACAAAAGCAAACAATTATCTGCTGTTTATTTTGCAAGTACTGTGGTGAGGAAAGCATTAGAAAAAGCTAACAAGATAAAAGATGGGGGAGGGCTAGCTCAGTGGTTTGAGCATTGGCCTGCTAAACCCAGGGTTGTGAGTTAATTTAGGGATCCGGGGCAAAAATTGGCGATTGGTCCTGCTTTGAGCAGGGGGTTGGACTAGACGACCTCCTGAGATCCCTTCCAAACCTGATATTCTATGAAAGATCTCTCAGTATAAGAGCCTGTTCAAGATACAGCCCGAGTCCTGCAAATATTATGGTAGGACCCTGATGATACAAGATCAACAATCTCAAAAAGCTGCACATCAAGAAAATACAATCCAAATCATGGGACTGCTTCACTAAAGGAGTCGCTCTCTAATATCGATTTTTAAAAAGTTAGAATCTCAGACTGGTAAAATCCAAGCTATGGAAGTTAGGTTGATAGTCATGAAACATGGTTCCTCCGGCTTGAAAGCAGAGGGCTCAATCTTCAAGAGCTACACTTTGAACATATTGAGAGTGGTGCCAGAGCTGACATTATGCCACTTGACCATCTCCACCCAATCTTGGTCCAGCCAGAGGCCCATTGCACTGGCTTTCACCAGCCCCAAGGGGCCATTATTCCAGGCAAAGATTGCTAGAGTAGCAAAAAGGAAGCAGGATCTGTTCCAGTTTCTCTTTCAATTAATGCAAGTAGCAACCAGATTTGCTGCTTTGAATAATAAAGTCTATTTAACCCAACGGAAAAGTCTGAATCCTGAAAAAATATTGGAAATAGGTTTCTGGATGTTGTCAGAAATTTTTTTTTTTTTTTTTACCATCAGTTTTTTTGGTTACCCATCTGATGCTCATTTCCATTGATAGCTCCACTCTGGACAGCATCCCAAATGTTTAATGTATTAAAGAAAAAAAATGGCACTGACAAGATGCAATTACACATATGGTTATTCCATGACTTATTACTGGAATCCACAACTTTTCTTTCCCCCTTCTTCACTCTCCATTACTGTCATCATCCCTTCTATCCTAATTCAGATTAAAAACTCCATGAGGCTTGGAATTATTTTAGTTGTCTGTAATGCATCATGCACACCTATGATATTGTCTGTAACAATTAAACCCTACTTTAAAAAAAAAAAAAAAAGGAAGGAAGGAATATGGTCAGATTATTTCTGCAAAAAGATTTCCTGTTAGAAGAGACTTCAAGAATTGACAATGATATTTGATATTCCACAAATGAAGAACCTAAGTCCCTGATTCTGCAAACTTTGTGCTTCACTTTATACACTGCAGGTAGGTCAGTGAAGTCAGTGGGGAAGCCATATGAACCAAATCTCAAAGGACAGCAGATGGGAATAGTATTCAAAAATATTCTTCTATTCCCTTCAAATGCTATGACATTCCAGGGATAGAAAGAGGTCGTTTTTCTCTTATCACTTCATATCAGTATAATATCAGGCAATGATTAGTTGTAAAGTTATAATTCTGAGCTTCTACCATGAAAGACTAAGGGCATAATCCTGAAAGGTACTGAGTATCTTCAGCTCCCACTGAAGTTAAAGGTTTGGGCCCTAAATGGGAGTTTAATTGTTATTTAAAACAGTATCTTTCTCGCAGAATGTTTTTCCTTCTTCTTATACTGTTCATTCTATGACAGTACTTTGCTCTTTAGTATTATGTTATTTCCTTCAAATTTATTGAAAAAGTAAATACAAAATAAAGTTTTAAAACTGATCTCCAGTATTTGCATTTAATGTTAATTTCCAAAAAACCTGTAGCTGGATATAAGAATATTTATAATATAGCTGGACATCAGTTTGATAAAAAGAATTAGACAGAAAGAGTCAAAACTCCAAAAACTTGTCTGGATGAAAACTAGATTTGAGGATATGGTGCTTGGACAGAAATAAAAAAAAAAAAAAAAAAGTGAAAAGACAGCCTGATAGAAATTGTACACTTTATTCAGAAGAGCCTACCTGATTTCAGAGCTTTAGGTACAAAAGGAAAGAGTAATTATATTTAATTTCAAGTTGTATAATGAAGCTAATTTACCTGTAGCATACTGGTTTTCAAATTCTGACACACAATACGTGCCCCCAAACCATGTAAACAATGCAAAAAAGAAAATGTATTGTTTCATGGAGGAAAAAAAGAGAGAGCTATGCAGTCATTTCCAACTACATAGTACACTGTTTTGTCATCAGTCTTCTTGGCAATCTCAAAACACAAAGGGACTAATTTGGTACGGATTTCATTTCATTCCATGCAGGACTGGGATTAATAAGCACAAAATCTGGACCAAAAACTAAAGAATGAACAAACAAAATCAATCTCCCTCCTCCTCCTCCAACCAAACACAGACACATTTGCGTGTGTACGATACAAGCAAGATAAACACGGAAGTAGTTTCTGCAGCACCTCTTCAGTTCACGTAAAGAATCATTGAAATATTTTTCTGCTGTTTTGGTTTGACTTAATGATACTCATGCTATTCCTTATTTCATATTTCTAAGTACTTCGAAAGTTTTATCTCCCTTTTAAAAAACAAGAATGTTTATTTAATGCCTTAAAATATTCCAGAAGATTAACTCCCGTTTTGACATCTTCTCAAAATGATTTCCATTCAGTTTTAATGTATTATTTAGTAGCTAATTTTTCCTCTCAGCACAGAGTTATAGTAAGGCAACAATAAATCTGTTGCTAATAACTGGTGACATACCATAACTCAACAAACACCTATTACGGAATCCATCTTAAATATATTTTGTTGTTTTTAAAACAACGAACAACTTCATCTCCTTGTCAATCATTAAAAAAGTAACTGAAGTACCACAATTTTATGCTTTAGTTATTGTATTTTACTTATTCTGAACTGCCGCAAAATGTATTTTACTATTTTAAAATATGACAGGTCCATCTATCATCTGAATGTATTAGTCTTTTTAAAGCATAAAATATCAACCTTTTATATTTGTCATTGGAGACCATTTGGTTTTAATGAAAAATAGATTTGTTTTTTTCTTGCTATCACCACAAAAATCAAGTAACGATGCTTCCTACTAAAGTCATGAAATATAATGCACACAGTAATTTATTTCTGCGCGTAACCACCACTCTCAGAATTTCATGCAAATAAAAAAGGGTTTTGTCCTTTACAATAAACTTACTTTTTGCTCGCTTCACAGACATCAGCAATATTGGAGAAAAGATGGTGTTTTTCTGTTTTGGTCATTGTTAAACTCAGGTCTTTGGAATTTTTAAACATCCGGATCAGAATCTCCAAGCTCAGCAAGTATGAATGTTCAGATGATATTACTTCAAATATAGCCTGCACGGTAGGAAAAACAGACTTACAATCAACTGTTTTGTTTTGGATGGAGTTATGGTATAAATTACAACAGAAGAATTTATCATCCAGACTAAGTTTGCCAATACAAGTTTAAAAGTAGTCACAAAATTTACTTTTAAATGTAAAGTGGAGTACTGCAAAAAAAAAAAAAAAAAAGCAGCCTTTTCAACTCTGACTCATAGTCAAAGGGTATGTCTATACTGCAATTAAACATCCAAGGCTGACTCACGTTTGGGCTGCAATATTACAGTGTAGACATGAATTCCAGAGCCTGGGCTCCAGCCCAAGCCCCACGAGTACAAGTGAGCTGATACAGGCCAGCTGTGAGTTTTTAACTGTAGTGTAGACATATCCAAAGAATGTTAAGCCAAGTGTTAAACTCAAACCAGTTGTGATCTTTCCAGTTTTGCAGACGTCAACATGTCTCTTAAAAGATTTGCCCACTCCAGTACTCTGGGGCAGAGAATTTAAACATAGGCAGGCTGCTACACATCAGTTAATGTGTCTTTTCAAGTTATCTACTAGGGCAACATTCTTGTGTAATGGAACCTTGATTACCCAAAAGTCTATGGGAACACTTAAAATCTTTGGATAATCAAAGATTCAGCTAGTAGACAGAACTAGGAGGGTGGAGCAGTTAGCTGAGGAGGAAAGGATAGACCTCTGGCACACAGATACAGCCTCTCACAAAAAGATTTGTCACTGCTTCTCTCTCTCCCCATCAGTCAGCCAATATAGCACCATACCCCTGGGTCTTTCCTCCCAACTCTTCCTTCAGCTGGCTGACATACATAGAAAACCTTAGGTGATACAGTTGATCTTTGAACTGCAGAGGTTTGGTCAACCAGGGTTTTACTGTTTCAGATGTAGAAATGTATCCAGTTGTTGTAATATCCTCCCCTGCCCTGCTTTTAGTTTTTCATTTGAAAAAATCTAACTGGGGTTCCTGGATCTCGCTGTATATACAGACTGGCTGATCACTAAAGAATGTTGACACTTCCTTTTTAAATAGCACCATGGGGTCCCACTGGCTCTGAGACATTTGTTATTCCATATACTTCCTAGAAATTTTTGACTGTCTTACAGTAAGGACACTTGGAGAGTTTATAGAACTTGGCTGACAACATAACAAATGTAAATATCTTCACATGAATTTCAGGAACTATTTGTAATTAGTGTCTCTAAGCATCTTCAAACCTGAAGGGAATATACTTCAGAAGCTGACTGTATGCTGAAAGTTCTGATTATGGATTTTTACTAACTGAGAAGTAACATACATGTTGACAAACATGTTGAACACATTGGACCTTTCCAGCTTCTGAAAGGACTGATCAGCATCTCAAGTACAGTGGACTCTTCTGTAGATGTTAATGAATGCCCTTCAGTGCTTATGGGTGCTCATGATTATTCCCTTCAGATCCCAGATTTTTTATTCAAAATCCTTCATTTGTTTCTAAAATCTCTTCTCCTTCAAAGAACTGGGATTTTAAAATTGAAAACAAGTAACAGGTATTGGATAGTTTAAAAACTCCAGCTTTAAATCAAATCCACAAAAACGTATTCCTTCTGTGATTGGGTATACTAGGGCTCTTCATGGCCCTCTGCTGGAAGCCCCATGGTCCTACTATGCCACGCCCCAGGAGAGGAGCGGCAAAGGTGGCTCCTCCAGGCCTGCCTAGAAAGGCTGCATGGAAGCAGCCAATTACTGCTTTATCCCAGCGGGCTCAGATAAAAGGAGTCTTAGCCCTTGTCTACACTAGGCGTTGAGATTGAATTTAGCAGCGTTAAATTGATTTAACCCTACACCTGTCCACACAACAAAGCCCTTTTTTTTTTGACTTAAAGGACTCTTAAAATCAATTTCTTTACTCCACCCCCGACAAGGGGATTAGTGCTGAAATTGGCCTTGCCGGGTCAAATTCGGGGTAGCGTGCATGCAATTCGATGGTATTGGCCTCCAGGAGCTATCCCAGAGTGCTCCATTGTGATCGCTCTGGACAGCACTCTCAACTCAGATTCACTGGCCAGGTAGACAGGAAAAGGCCCGCAAACTTTTGAATCTCATTTCCTGTTTGGCCAGCATGGCAAGCTGCAGGTGAGTGCAGAGCTCATCAGCAGAGGTGACCATGATGGAGTCCCAGAATCGCAAAAGAGCTCCAGCATGGACCGAACAGGAGGTACAGGATCTGATCGCTGTATGGGGAGAGGAATCCGTGCGATCAGAACTCCGTTCCAGTTTTTGAAATGCCAAAACATTTGTCAAAATCTCCCAGGGCATGAAGGACAGAGGCCATAACAGGGACCCAAAGCAGTGCCGAGTGAAACTTAAGGAGCTGAGGTAAGCCTACCAGAAAACCAGACAGGCGAACGGCTGCTCCGGGTCAGAGTTCCAAACATGCCGCTTCTATGATGAGCTGCATGATATTTTAGGGGGTTCAGCCACCACTACCCCAGCCGTGTTGTTTGACTCCTTCAATGGAGAGGGAGGCAACACAGAAGCAGGTTTTGGGGATGAGGAAGATGATGATGATGATGAGGTTGTAGATCGCTCACAGCAAGCAAGCAAGCAGAGAAACTGGTTTTCCCGACAGCCAGGAACTGTTTCTCACCCTGGACCTGGAGGCAGTCCCCCCCGAACCAACCCAAGGCTGCCTCCCAGACCCACCAGGCAGAGAAGGGACCTCTGGTGAGTGTACCTTTTAAAATACTATACATGGTTTAAAAGCAAGCATGTTTAATGATTAATTTGCCCTGGCAATCGCGGCCAGTACAGCTACTGGAAAAGTCTGTTAACATGTCTGGGGATGGAGAGGAAATCCTCCAGGGACATCTCCATAAAGCTCTCCTGGATGTACTCCCAAAGCCTTTGCAAAAGGTTTCTGGGGAGGGCAGCCTTATTCCGTCCACCAGGGTAGGACACTTTACCACGCAGGCCAGTAGCACATAGTCGGGAATCATTGCAGAACAAAGCATTGCAGTGTATGTTTGCTGGCGTTCAAACATCCATTCTTTATCTCTGTGTTATCCTCAGGAGAGTGATATCATTCATGGTCACCTGGTTGAAATAGGGTGCTTTTCTTAAGGGGACATTCAGAGGTGCCCGTTCCTGCTGAGCTGTTTGCCTGTGGCTGAACAGAAATGTTCCCCACTGTTAGCCACGGGGAGGGGCTAGCCACGCCGTGGGGGGAGGCAAAATGCGACCTTGTAACGAAAGCACATGCGCTATGTATGTAATGTTAACAGCAAGGTTTACCGTGAAAGAGTGTACCCATTGTTCTATAAAATGTGTCTTTTTAAATACTGTCCCCTTTTTTTTTTCTTCCACCAGCTGCATGTGTTTCAAGGATCAGAGGATCTTCTCCTTCCCTGAGGCTAGCGAAGATTAGAAGGCGAAAAAACCACACTCGCTATGAAATGTTCTCTGAGCTCATGCTGTCCTCCCACACTGATGGAGCACAGACAAACGTGTGGAGGCAAACAATGTCAGAGTGCAGGAAAGCACAAAATGACTGGGAGGAGAGGTGGTGGGCTGAAGAGGGTAAGTGGCAGGCTGAAGAGAGGGCTGAAGCTGACAGGTGGCAGCAGCGTGATTCAATGATGAGGCTGCTGGAGGATCAAACTGGAGCATATTAGTGTATGGTTGAGCTGCAGTAAAGGCAGGAGCACAGACCGCCGCTACAGCCCCTGTGTAACCAACTGCCCTCCTTTGGGGGTGGGTGGGGGGGAGTGGGAGATCATCAAGGAGAAACAAACAGAACTTTCACACCGTAGCCTGGCCAGTCACGAAACTGGTTTTCAAAGAGCTTCTCTGATGTGCACCGTGCCCTCCTGTGCTCTTCTAACCGCCCTGGAATCCAGCTGCGCATAACCAGCAACCTCCCACCCCGCCATAAATGTCTCCCCCTTACTCAGATATTGTGGTGCACACAGCAAGCAGTAACAACAATGGCAATACTGGTTTTGCTGAGGTCTAAGCAAGTCAGTAAACTGCGCCAGCATGCTTTTAAACGTCCAAATGCACATGCTACCACCATTCTGCACTTGCTCAGCCTGTAGTTGAACAGCTCCTGACTACTGTCCAGGCTGCCTGTGTAGGGCTTCATGAGCCATGGCATTAAGGGGTAGGCGGGTCCCCAAGGATAACTATAGGCATTTTGACATCCCCAATGGTTATTTTCTGGTCTGGGAATAAAGTCCCTTCCTGCAGCTTTTGAAACAGACCAGAGTTCCTGAAGATGTGAGCATCATGTTGATGTTGGTGAAACGTCCCTTGTGACCCACCACTGCTTGCAGCACTATTGAAAAGTACCCCTTGCGGTTTACGTACTCGCCGACTTGGTGCTCTGGTGCCAAGATAGGGATACGGTTCCGTCTATGGCCCCACCACAGTTAGGGAATCCCATTGCAACAAAGCCATCCACTATGACCTGCACATTTCCCAGGGTCACTACCCTTGATATCAGCAGATCTTTGATTGCGTTGGCTACTTGCATCACAGAAGCCCCCAGAGTAGATTTGCCCACTCCAAATTGATTCCCAACTGACCGGTAGCTGTCTGGCGTTGCAAGCTTCCACAGGGCTATTGCCACTCACTTCTCAACTGTGAAGGCTGCTCTCATCTTGGTATTCTGGCGCCTTAGGGCAGGGGAAAGCAAGTCACAAAGTTCCATGAAAGTGCCCTTATGCATGTGAAAGTTTCGCAGCCCCTGGGAATCGTCCCAGACCTGCAACACTATGCAGTCCCACCAGTCTGTGCTTGTTTCCTGGCCCAGAATTGGCGTTCCATGGCATGAACCAGCCCCATTAGCACCATGGTGCCCACACTGCCAGGGCCCATGCCTTGAGAGAAGCCTGTGTCCATATCCTCATCACTCTCGTCACTGTGCTGACGTCACCTACTTGCCTGGTTTCGCTTTGCCAGGTTCTGGTGTTGCATATACTGCTAGATAATGCACGTGGTGTTTAATGTGCTCCTAATTGCCAAAGTGATCTGAGCGGGCTCCATGCCTGCTGTGGTATGGAGTCTGCAAAGGTAACTCAGGAAAAAAGGCACGAAATGATTGTCTGCTCTGCTTTCGCAGAGGGAGGAAGGGCCTGACGACATGTACCCAGAACCACCAGCGACAATGTTTTTGCCCCATTAGGCATTGGGATCTCAACCCAGAATTCCAATGGGCAGTGAAGACTGCAGAAACTGTGGAATAGCTACCCACAGTGCAATGCTCCGGAAGTCGACGCTAACCTCAGTACTGTGGAAGCACTCCGCTGAGTTAATGTACTTAATGCACTTAGAGCATTTTGTGTGGGGACACAAACAATCGACTACATAAAAACAATTTCTAAAAAACCGACTTCTATAAATTTGACCTAATTTCGTAGCGTAGACATACCCTTAGTAGGTCAGGTTCTGGCTGGGAGCTCCTCTCTGGCCACAGGAGCATGACCAGCTGTATTTGCTTAAACTGGGGAAGAGAGGGCCTGAGAACCTTAACCCTGAGGTGTGGGGTGAAGATAAAGGGGCTGTGGGAAAAGGCCCAAAATAGCAGCAACTAATTCAAGGAAACAGTACGTGGCTTCTCTTTATAGGGACCTGGAGTAGTGGGCAGGCTTGGGTTCCCCCGCTGGCTACTGACAAAGCCGTCTAAGCTCTGAGAAAGGGACCAAGTGCATTTAGAAGCCAAATCGAAGGGCTGGATTTAAAGGGCCCTGGTGATGGCAGATGGACAATTTCTGTTGGACTCTGCTTCCCCAGAAGGAGTATGTTTGGACTGTGAGACCCAGCCGGAGGGTATAGCCATTGAAGACCCACCAAATAAGGTTGACAACCTATAGGGGCTGCCAGGAGCAGAAAAGGCCTGTAGTATTGCATGTAGCAGCAGGAGGCACTCGTTACACTTTTCTAAAGCCTTTGCTGCGCAAAGAGAAGGAGCCAACTCCAAGGGAAAACTGTAGGGATGCCAGAGATGTCAGAAAGGTGAGTATGTGGGATGTTCCCTCCTCCCCACTGCTAGCCACTCTCAGTTCCCTCCACAAGATAACTGTATAGCCAGCAGACTCAAAACAAAAAGGGATGTGACCGGAAACATATTAGGAGCCATATAACAGCTGCATTAAACAGCATGGTCCTTGTAAAAGTGCATTGTCTTAGTATAAGGAGATGTATAAAGTTAATGACACTTAAAACATTATATTCCAGCCTGATGTATCCCTCGGCCCTAGAGGTCTACAGAATATAGCCAGATGCTAGCTGGACTAAGGCAACAAAGCTGCCTGGTCAGCTATACTTATATGGCTGATGTAGGGGGAAAAGGGTGTCTGAACACAGCATTCTGGCCATTTTCCTTTGCTCACCACATGTATTTCTAACTTCACCCTGGCTACATTGCGTTTCCTCCAGCTGCACTCACCAGGAAAGGATTTGCCTAAAGAGAGCTGCAGTGTTCCATGACTAATTTGTTCTGATCTATGCATTTTTGAACTTAAGGAAACACATGAGCCTTCCCTTCACTGTATTATTGAGGAGCTTCTTTGTTTCTGCTTTTTATGAGAGCCCTCCTTGACTTCTTTCAGTTTGAGAACTGCAAGGCCATGCTAGTGTGTTTGAAAATCAGCACTAAAGCCAATTTGCTATTAATATCTGCTATGTGATGACTGCAAAGTGCAAACAAGCTTTGGTATAATACCACTTTATATCCAAAACACTTAGCATGACAGAACAAATCAAGATAATCTTAAGTTCACATATACAGTAATAACAGTAAACAGAAATAGAGGGAGAAAGCTTGAGATCATATGTACCAATTACTACTTTATAGTCAACTTAGGAGACTTTCTATGAAAGAGTCTGAAAGACTTCATTTGCATTGCATGAGCAGTTGTCTGTATCGCAATAGCTAATGAGTGCTTCATGAAAATATTAACAGACTGGTGGGAAGAGCAGTTTTGTGTAGTGGTGCAGAAGTACATGAATTCAAGATTAGAACTTGATGATAGTTTGAAGGGAAGTGAATGTATTAAAAAAGTATTACTAGTTAGAGCACCATAATTATAGAAGTATTTCCTTTGGACACAATATACGCACAACGACTTAGCATATTAAAATCACAGTTAAAGGTGGTGCCTCAATTTAAAATCTTGTTCCTCTTAAACCCCACCCAACAGTAGCAAACAAATTTTTCCAAAAAGTTTCCATATCGATGGTGTGTTACAGAAATTTAGCTAACAAATAGGCTTTTAAGTTTAAACTATACACACAATGAGAATGGTGTAAAAACAACTACAGGCATAGCTGCATCCTAGGATTACTTCTTTTTGATTCCTGTAAAAGCTGCCTCTGCTGAAACACTAGCACAAAAACACAAAAACCTGAGGCTTGCAAGACATATTTTGGCTAAATCTAAAGGCTCTAACCCTGAAAGGCACAAAGGACTTGCTCTCTCTGAGGAAGTATATGTAGATCTGACTTCAGAAAGCTGGAGTAATGGCTCCTGAGGAATTCAAAAGGGATAAAAGGAGGCCCCTCTCCCAGGCCCAAAAGTGAAAACAGGCCAGAGGGTGTAGCACAAGTGTCCACTAAGGTGACAACAGGCAGAAGGAGAACCCCTGGTTTGTTCAGGGACAGGTCACATCTCTTGGGATTCTCCTCATCCGTAAATAATGAAATACATCAAAATCCTGCAAAGAGCAGACAAGAAATCCACGGGGATGGGGGAGTTGCAGAGAAGGAGACTGTTACAAATCTTGTGTACACAATCTAGAGATAACGGCCTATATTCTCTGCTTGAGGGTGGAAGGGATATCACACAAAGCACTAGCTGCAGCTCTGATTCTGGAGCTGGTTCCATGCTTGCCCCAGCATAGTGCAGAGGGGCTGACTAGCTATGACCTCTAAGGAGCCATCCATCAGCTAGAGTTCACTGGAGTACAGCCTGCCTCAACCACACTTCTACCAAGAGCGCACAGGGGGTCATCCCAGCTACCCAAGCTGGAGATTCACATGCTAGGGAGTTCCAGTTGGTGCAGGCAAAGGAGTCACAGTGAGGGAGAAAATCCAGCCCATTCTATAGGGCAGCAGAGAATGGAACTAGGAGGTACTAAAGTTGTCCCCCTTATGGGCAGGTACATAAAGGAAGTTCACAAAGTATCAAATCAGGCATGCTATATATTACTAAATAATCAACAATTAAAAAAATTACTTAAAGAATACCTCTTGCCTCTTTCTTTCCTCCTGACTGATCGTCAGAGACAGTCCATTCTTTTTCACCTAAAAGACAAATTTTAATATTTAACATCCTTATGAAAAACACTTTCTTTTACATTATCCAAGTAAACAAGGATTCAAGTTTTGTGCTAAGAATTAAGTGGCAGATTTTGCACACACAAGTATTTAAGCATGCAGAACTTTATTTTTAAAGTTAAATTACTTAATTTGCATACACACAACATACCTGAATGCAATTTCTGAGGCCTCCTTGAAAATTTGTCCCTAAATATTTTCTCTCTCACCTCAGGGCCTTTTTAGAGAGATTGTTCATTGACTAAAATTTGATGCTGGAGGAGCCCTATACATATCATATCACAAATTCACTTGAGGCTGACATTAAATTTATAATTTCGCTTGGTCTCACCTTTCCCACTCCTCCCCATCCTACTCCACAGTCACTCAGTCTCAACTCCTACCTATCCTCTCTAATTCTGTCTCCCAGCCCCAGCCTCTCCCACTACATTCTACCCCTCACAGCCCCATCACAACCCTTTTAAGCTCTGCACCATCCATTCTCCCTCCTCCCTTCCGACTCTTTCTTAGCCTACCAGTCTAATCTAAAGTTAAATCATCAGCAGCAACTTTTTTTTCCTCCTCTACCTCCCACTCTGTTACATCATCCCCATTCCAATGATATTCTACCTCCCTCTCTGACTTTCAGCACTTGGTATGTCATTTCACCCCTACATCTTTTCTACACAATTTCAAACAGTGATGTGGTTTTGTGATATATATTTTTGGGTTCGTTATTTTAATGAGATAATGCATATTTGAATATACAAACTGGGATATTTCATATCTGCAGTTTGCGTGCAATTTTTCAGGCCTTAGCATGAACCCGCCTCTGAAAAAAATCAAGCCACATCTAATTAGATGTCTAAATACAGACTAAGAAACTTGACTTTAGGCAGCAAAGTTTGAAAACGTGGGCTTACATGAATGTCAAATTTTTTTCACAAGTAAAACATTTCAATAGCCCCTTTTAAAAAACAAAACAAATCCAATTTAAACCTGGTGTTTATCAATAAAACCTGGTGTTTATCAATAAAAACATTAACCTTCCATATTAAGGCATCACAGATAGTCTCACTAATCGTGCAACTATGAGCTAAACTTTGAGAATCATTAAAACACGGGCTCTCAAACTTCATTGCACCTCCCTGCTGACAACAAATATTACTACATGACCCCACAAGGGGGACTGAAGCCTGAGCCCACGCAAGACCCACCACCTGGGCAGGGGAGAGGGCAAAGCCAAAGCCCCAGGGCTTAAGCCTCAGATGGGGGGCTTGTAGCCTGAGCCCCATCTCCCAAGGCTGAAGCCTTTGGGCTTCAGCTTCAGCCCCAGGTGGTGGGGCTCAGGCTTCAGCTTCAGCCCCGGACCCCAGCAAGTCTAATGCCAGCCCTAGCAACCCCATTAAAACAGGGTTGTGACCCACTTTGGGGTCCCAAACCATGGTTTGAGAACTGCTGCATTAGAAGAAACTGAAAATGCAGGACATTATGTGAAAGTACAGAATGTTGAATGTTTATTTTTATGATCTAAACATTAAAACCATATAGTAAACAATTCCTTTCTATTGGTAATCTGATTTCAGCTTGGGTTAACTAAGTTAATAGATCATTTCTCCCGCGCCGGGGTTCTCGCGATGCAGGAAATATCTAAACGGAGACAGACTCATGGTGCTTGCCTGCTATAAACCTGGGTAAATATGCACCTAAATGGCTCTTTGTTTCTTCTATTACTTCCTTGATAATGGGTCATAGTATTTACTTCACCATAGAGGCAGCCTATGGAATTTCAAAAGCATTCTAGACTTACTGCCAATAGCTGCATTCAGCCATTGACTCTACTTGTTTTCATATGTTCGCACGCTGGCCACAAAGTTCAGAGAGTAAACTTAGTCCTAAGAGATCTTTGGTATAAATTACCTAAAAAATGAAGGACTTTAAAAAAAAAAATCAGATTTTATTCAAAATCTTGAGAAATAATAATAAATAAGTTTCAGATATTGGTAAGATAAAGAACTCAATTTAGAAAACAAAATTAATCTTTTTCCGTTCCTCTGCAATGTAAGCGTAAATTTAAAATTGGGAAAAAACCCTTGAAATTAGATTAGGTGAGACTGGACTGGACGTCACAGTGAGTTTCAGTCTCAGTTCTGGTGGCACGTTAAAGACTAACAGATTTATTTGAGCATAAGCTTTCATGGGTAAAACCCACACTTCTTCAGATGTATGGAGTGAAAATTACAGATGCAGACATAAATACTGGCACGTAAAGAGAAGGGAGTTACCTCACAAGTGGAGAACCAGTGGTGACAGGGCCAATTCAATCAGGGTGGATGTAGTCTACTCCTCATCTATTATTGGGAAGTGCCAATTCCAGGAGAGGCAAAGCTGCTATTGTAATGAGCCAGCCACTCCCAGTCCCTATTCAAGCCACAGGAAGGAGGCCCTTGAAGGATTCCACCTGGATTTCAACAATTTCCACCCCACCGTCAACCTCAGCCTGGACGAGTCCACACAAGAGATCCATTTCCTGGACACTACAGTGCAAATAAGTGATGGTCACATAAACATGACCCTATACCGGAAACCTACTGACTGCTATACTTACCTACATGCCTCCAGCTTCCATCCAGGACACATCACACGATCCACTGTCTACAGCCAAGCCCTAAGATACAACCAGATTTGCGCCAATCCCTCAGACAGAGAAACACCTACAAGATCTTTATCAAGCATTCTTAAAACTACAATTCCCACCTGGGGAAGTGAGGAAACAGATTGACAGAGTGAGACAGGTACCCAGAAGTCACCTACTACAGGACAGGCCCAACAAGGAAAACAACAGAACACCACTGGCCATCACGTACAGCCCCCAGCTAAAACCTCTCCAGCACATCAATGATCTACAACCTATCCTGGAAAATGATCCGTCACTCTCCCAGACCTTGGGAGGTAGGCCAGTCCTCACTTACAGACAACCGCCCCAACCTGAAGCAAATACTCACCAGCAACTACACACCACACCACAGAAACACTAACACAGGAACCTATCCCTGTAGCAAAACCTCGTTAACTACTCTGTCCCCTTATCTACTCTAGTGAGACCATCAGAGGACCCAACCACATCAGCCACACCATCAGAGGCTCATTCACCTGCATGTCTACTAATGTGATATATGCCACCATGTGCCAGCAATGCCCCTCTGCCACGTACATGGGCCAAACCAGACAGTCCGTACGTAAAAGAATAAATGGATACAAATCGGACATCAGGAATGGTAACATACAAAAGCCAGTAGGAGAACACTTCAACCTTCCTGGACATTCTATAACAGATTTGAAAGTAGCTATACTTGAACAAAAAAACTTCAGAAACAGACTTCAAAGAGAAACAGCAGAACTAAAATTCATTTGCAAATTTAACACCATTAATTTGGGCTTGAATAGGGACTGGGAATGGCTGGCTCATTACAATAGCAGTTTTGCCTCTCCTGGAATTGATACTTCCTCATCTATTGTTGGGAGTGGACTACATCCACCCTGCTCAAATTGGCCCTGTCAACACTGGTTCTCCACTTGTGAGGTAACTCCCTTCTCTTCATGTGCCAATATATTTATGTCTGCATCTATAATTTTCACTCCATGCATGTGAAGAAGTGGGGTTTTTAACCCACGAAAGCTTATGTTCAAATAAATCTGTTAGTCTTTACGGAGCCACCGCACTCCTTGTTGTTTTTGTGGATACAGACTAACACGGCTACCCACTGATACTTAAGTCCCAGTTCTGGCACTGACTCCTTGCTTGTGCATACAAATTACTTCACCTTTCTCTGTGTCTCAGTTTCTCTGTCTGCAACACGGGCATAATAATACTCTTCCTTCCAAACACTGGGAGCTGGTTAGTGAATTTGGAGCTAAATGCTTCTCTGGGCCAGGATCCATATACAGAGACGAGGCACCTCAGTCAGGAGAGAAGGGAAAGGGTTGTTTTGTGGGGGTTTTTTTGTATGCTGCTATCTCATGGAGTGGAAAAAAAGTAAGCAGAGAGTCTGAAAGCACTACTATGTGTGGACAACACTTTGCCATCATCTTCTGGAGAAAGACATGGAGACTGCAGAAGAAAGAGAAGAAACCAAATTTCTGTAGGAGGACTACTGTGACGATGGGGGGCGGGGGGGATACAGATGCAACTCTGAGGGACAAAGGGAAAACCAGGTCTGATCACGTGGCCAGATTTTGTGGGCCTCATGACGACTGTGGTTGGGAGCAAGGGATCAAATATTGGGAGGGGAGCACTACTGGGACCAGACAAGAATTAGGTATATAAATAGTGTTGGATGAGTCTGGAGAGGAGGGTGTTATTCCAATGCTCTGAAGTATAAATTCCTCAAGACTTGAACTTATCTTCTTCCATAAACTGTACCGACCCCCAATGCCAGCATGTAGCTAGTGTCTAGGTCCAACTGGGATCTCCTCTTGTCCTGGTAGGCATGCTCCCTTTCAGCCATCTGTACCTGGTGACTCATGGCTGGGTCCTGGGGCTGGCAAGGAAGGTCAGTTAACAGAGTGCACTCCAAACACTATCCACAGTTTCTTGTACCTCCACAGACACAATCTGCTCTCAGTATTTATAAAGGTCTATAAAGATGAAGAGTGTTTATAAGTGTGTGTTATTATGAAGGGCTGTAGCTGAATGTTTCCCTCAACAGGCAACTAGGGATCAGCTGTGAACAGGAGAGCGTGCTATGCCTTACGAGTGAAATGGCATGTGTATGCTTCGTATTTTAATTAGCAATCATAAAAAGAACAAAAACTACTAAGACAAGTGGTGCTATCTTTTTTGATGCTGTTGAATATTTGCTAAAAATTTGCAGAGACAGGGAGTACCTATGAACATGTACAAGAGAGCTCTAGAATTCCTGCTACTACAAGTGACTAAATTTCCAGTGATGGTGCTATCACATTTTCTGCATTAGTTTTCCAAAAAT